TAGTAGTGTTATGTAGGACCCGTTTCGATAACACATACTTATTCCTTAGTCACCTAACGTAATGCTCTGTTTCTTGACATATATAAAATCAACAGTGGTCCGAGATAATTTTTCTTGCAATTGTATGACTAATTCATGCTAGTCTCTCTCTCTTTCTCTCCCTCTCTAATCTATACTTTTATCCTCTTATAACCGGGTACGTACAGCTGTCATGAAAAACCAACTCATTATGATGGGTACAGCTTCACAACTCACTCAAGTGAATCGAGCAGGAAGTTCCGCTGCATGTAGCAGACTTCCCTGCCAAAAGGCTAGACAGTTTCCTGAAGTCATCGGAGTTAGTAACACCCAGAGATTTCTGGTACCATTATTGAAGGGTTAACAATTTCACTATTACAATGTTGATTAAATACAGCCATCAATAATGATAATAAAAATGACAAAAAAACTCTGAACTTCTATGACTCAACCTATCCCTTTAACCCATTGGATCCAGGTGATGTTAAAATCATATCATGAAAAAATCCAGGTCAAGGGGCGCTGACGTGAACATGCAGTGACACAGGTTGTTTTACAGAAAAGTGAATATTACTCTTTGAGAGAAGGAAAAAAAAATAAATAATAAAAAAAATAAAAATAAAAAAAAAATAAAAAAATAAATAAATAAATGAAGTAACATAGTGTTACATAGTTTTATTTTTCTTGTACTGAGTTGTAGACTACCATGAGAAATGAAGAAGAAGAAAAAACTATTACCATCTGGATACTGCAAATCAAATGGCAAATATGGACATTGGTAAATAGCCAAAAAGCTAAAAATGCTTATTAAAAGAGCAAATAAATTTGCAAATATGAGCCCTATGGCTCTTGCCATGCACACCTGTTTGCTTGCACCCAACCTACAAGCAGCCATCTGGCAGAGCAGTCACTCATGTAAACCTAATGCCTGGATTATTGGTGATGTGATTGCCATGATGCAACTAGATCCAATGGGTTAACCCAATGCTGACAGGCATGACACGTACGCGCGTGTTATGCCCACTGTGAGTTACTTGTTTGATTGTTTTTACACATAGATGGCTACACTTGTACTAAGTTACTAAAGAGCCAGTTACGAATACTACCTGTCTCGCCCATTTACCCTTTTCTTCGATGAACAAATAATTCCAAAAGATATGTGACATTTCCTATTACTGAAGAAGTAATATCATAATATGATCATTCCATAATACAAGGTATATAACAATATCTTAACCTATTGAATCCAGGTGACATGACTATCACACCAAAAAAAAAATTGTCTGAAGCCAAGTGACATGAAAATGTTTGGCTGAGGGCCGGGGGCAATGTGAACGTGCTGCACGACAAATTTGGCTGAGGGCCAGGATAACAGGAACGACTCATCTTGAGTGCACAAAGCTCTTGGAGGAAGATTAGACTCAGTGAGCATTTAGGAAGGGGCTCTTCCATTGGTAAACAAGAGTAGGATGTACCATTTGTGAGCCATGCCTGTAAGTGCTGGCTCCAAGGAGGACACTAATTCCATGCTCAGGATCCTATTCCAGCCCACCATGACCAGCGGTGCTACAGAAAGTTGAATACGAAAATATCAAAAATTATACAAATAATAAAGTTACTTATTGTTATTACTACAGTTATAAGCTACTAAGTAGTAATCTGGAGTCTATTCAAGCAAAATAATCAATTACCATCTTGATACAGCACAACAAATAACAAATATAGACCTTGCATAATGACAAAAAGCAAAAATATACTTATGCAGAAAGAGATAATAAAATTGCAAAGTCTTGGTATGGGTGTTCATGTGGGCTGGGTATGCCACACAGCCGCACGTGGGATGCAGGGCACCCGGATCCAAAGGGTTAATATTACTTTTCTGACACAATATTGAAGAATTGTGGAATCATTTGTTGATATTTACACCTTCTTTTACATTTGTTACAATGAATTATATGAATACAAAGAATTGGACAATACTGCCCATGAAAATGTATAATCTATAATATAGAACAACTGTGAGACAATGACAATGTTTTCAGAAGATTAATTGAACACTGGAATGCACAAGAAGTTTATCAAGCTAATGTTTCCAAATATGTCATTCATATAAGCTTTACAATATTGTGTAGCTGTCAACTACAGAATGTGGATCGCTGTCCTCTTTCTGATGTCTTAAGGAATAACTACCAACATGCATATCTTTCCTGGCTTCACAATATTGGCAAACCACTTTCCTTTTTACTCATACCTTTCACAAGTTAAGCATTCACAATAGGAGTTATTGTCGCCGAAGAAGTCTTCCCCATAGAAGCAGGTAATCTCTTCTCCTACTTCAATATCTCTTAGGACTTTTACACAAGCTGTTCCTCGCCCTGTGGCTGTAAACTGGAGAGTGGAATATTATGAAAATATATACTTCTCCACAGCATTTACAAACATGTAAATATGTACAGAATTCTGAACTACATTTCCCTGTAGTAAGAACTTTACTTACATGATAATATGAAATATATCATCATTAGCATTTGATAATTTTACCGTATGAGAATGTGTGTGTGTGTGGGGGAGGAATAAAAAAAATATCGGTTCTTATACCTTGCAATTAGCCCGGCAGTCATGATTAATAAAAGCTGCTGGACCAAGCCACAGTTGGGCACAGTTTTTTCTGCAGGAATACATGACAGAAAAATCATTCTTGCCAGGATGGAGGAGCTGCGTCTCCTCATCTTCACTAAGCTCGGCAATACAGCCCACTAGATAGCCTATCTGCTCATTCTTGTACCTGTAAAAAATAATCACTATTGTTCAAAACCTGCTCTCATGGAAATAAACTCCTGTAAAGAAAAATTAGATAATATAGCAAGAGTGCAACTTTTTCTTTTTCTTTCTTTATTTTTTTCTTCATAGCATATATACATGTACATCCCTTACTAGAGCAAAAATGAAATATCAACATTAGCTAATGAAATGGGTCACAGAAAGACTTTAGTATCTCATAATAATAGATTCCTCCCAATGTGAAGGATTACAAAGAAACTAAAAATAATCAATTAACTTTTCAAAATTCTATAAAAAAAAGTGGTAGATAGGATTTGATTTGGATATAAACATTGTCTATGAAAGAAGTTCTTTATTAAATTAACCCCTTCCCAACGGGTGACGCCGATAGGCGTGAAAACCAACTGCTTAAAAGCTGGCATACGGCTGTACGCCGCGGCGCAGCGCCAGTGATTCAGGCTGATGTATCAAACTCACGCGCTCAAAGTTGGCGCGCCACCTTTGTTTGCCAGAGCATAGAGTTTTTTTTTTTTGTTTGTTTGTTTGTTTGTTTTCTTCACCTGTCCCCATTGGGTTAAAAGAAATAATCAAAATTTTCTTCCTTTTCCCTCTGGCTGAAAATTATGAGCTTCTGTACCACCATTTTTATACCATTATTAACCCAATTCCGACAGCCATGACGTGTACGTACATACGTTATCTTACTTTGCCATTACTAATAATTTACAATATTACTGTAATTATAATGTCTATAATAAAAATAACACCATCGAAATTCATAGCATTAGTAAAAAATATGTTTTTCCTGCCAATTCAAGGAAAGGTAAAATCAGGTAAAGTCATAAGGTCTACTGACTGACTCCTTCTGGGTTAAGCACTAGCAGAGCCATCTATGTGCAGAGACATTTCACAAAAAAATAAAAAATGAGCACAGCATTTCCCTGGCGGCATGTGGTGAAGCATATGAGAATGCAGAAATAACAGCAGCACTGATTTTTTTTTTCCCCCTCCCATTTTTTTTGGCTGAATATTTGAAAATCAACCATTATATATGGCTCTTTTTATTTATCTATTTTTGCTGCTTCTCACTCATTATCCCTGCAATTAGGTGATATCAAAGTACTTTAAAACTAGGATGTAATTAAAGGCATCTGAACATGCAATTCTTAAACTATAAAGCTGGAATTTATAAAACTGCAACTGACTTATGCTTTCCAACTGAACAGGAATGAACATATATGTATATATGCAGACACACAAATAATAAATGCACAGACCTAAATAATCAAAGTACCTAATGTTAGCTCATATATAATACACATAATCTATAACATTATATATAATCATGATTTCAAAACATCGTAAATTACTATAGCTCATAACAAGGATTCACTCACCACTTCCTGGTTGCGCATATTTTGGCCCCAACACAACCCTCCATAGAGTATCGGTAACATGGCTTTACTACAAATCCACTGTCCTTGTCAAATACTCTCAGATAGCGAAATACGTGTTCCTGTAAAATGTTAAACTTATTACTCTTAGAAACTAACAAATCTGAATTGAAAGAAGGAAAGATAAAAAGTTCTTCCCTATTCTAACACTTTTTTTTCTTAACCCAATTCAGACGGGTCACGTGTACTGACGTAACAAACTGCTCGGCTTGCGGGGTACACCTGTATGCACAGTGACATGCCTGAGTGTGGAGTGGGAAGTTCTGCTTCATGTGGCAGACTCCTGTGCCCAGTGTCTGGCTATCACCAGAAATCACCAGAGTTTGACATGCTCAAGATTTCTGTTTCCTGGCAGTAATAGGTTAAACTATTCTTTTCACTTAATCCATCAGCAACAGTATAGAAATCTCTCAGCATCATGGACTCAGGCGATTTCTGACAACCATCCTGCGGCTGGGAGCGAGAGTGCTACATGTATTGGAACTTCCTACTCAACACGCTCTAGTGTGATGCCACATGTATAGCCGTACCTGGCAGATCATGCGGTTTGTTATGATGGCTATACACATGACCCAGCAGTAATGGGTTAACTATAACTGTGACTAGCTTTTTTTTTTTCTTTCAATATCAATCAAATGAAAATCAATATACAATGCACTTAGAATATAAGAACAAGGTTGAATTCACAACAAACAAATGTTATCTACCTTAAATGCAGCTTGGAGATGTTTATTCTTTGTGATGAAGAAGGTCCAGGGCATCCAGTCTCCAGACACCAGTTGTTTGAATGCCTTTTCATAGTCTTGATGCTGGATGAAGTCCTCAATTATCTGGCCAAGTTCTTCTTTGCTTCCCCTTAGTGGCCGGTACCTGCATGAAAGAGGTACTTGTTTGTATGATAGACAAAATATACATTTTCTTGAACATGAATACACACAAAGTAATGTAGCGAAGTCAGAGGTATGATGTAATATTTCATCTACCTATTCAAACAGCATCTCTATTGTGTGAGCAGTCTACAGGGCAGAGGAATATCCTTTCAAGTTTGGAATTCCATATTAACCCCATGGTGCCGGGTCACGCCGATAGGCGTGTTAACAAACGACTCGAAAGCTGGCATGCAGCCAAACGAGCCGGCGGCGCGCCGAAGCACGGCGAGCCAGTGATTCGGGTTGACGTCCCGTACTCGCCTTTGTTTGCTAGAGCGTAGAGTTTTTTTTTTCCTTTTGTACACCCAGCGCCATTGGGTTAATTTTTTTTTTTCTTACACAATGCCGTTCCTGTCAATCTACCTCCTACTAAATATATCTTTAGTTACTTAATAGACCTTAAACCAGCATGAAAATAATAATTTTTTCCATTTTCCAATATGATTCGCATGAAGGAATTTCTTGGGCTACTTGAAATAAAATGAAACTAAATACAATTAAGTCCAAAGAGAAGAATCTAATCAATAGGTTTAACAGAAAGTGGAGAGAAAAAAAAAAAAAAAAAAAAAAAAAAAAAAAAAAACAATATATATATATATATATATATATATATATATATATATATATATATATATATATATATAAACCTCATCTTAAGACATACCCAAGATCACAATCCAGAACTGAACACATGAATAACGTGAAGTGGCCAATTACTCTTCAGTGACTTACTTACCTTACATTCATCTTGTGAGTTGCAAAACCCAGGTATTGGTCAAGAACAAGAGCTGTTGCCAAGTCGTCATTGTCTGAGAGCTCTTTGGGGGTCATGCCACAGCCTGTGGTTGCCATGCCCCCACCACGCATTAGCCGACCCCCTTGTGCCACCACCATCTTGATTAAACTACCTCTGCAAAGAAAGTAAAAACGTGTTACATAATTTCACCTCAACTTCTGTATACATATAAAATATCTGGACCAACAAAATAACTTACAAAAAAACATACGTAAGAATACACATAAACAGTTGGAAAAAGTAATTGTGTACATAACTGTGAAATTATAAAGGGAAATATTATGACCATAAAAGTACTGAATGTTGGTAGCTGTCTTTGCTATTCTATGAATGATCCATAGGCCTTTTGTATCCTCAAACAGTCTATTATTAGAAAACCAAAAATATGTTCTTTAACCCAATGATGCTGGGTGTATAAAAAGAAGAAGAGGAGGAAGAAGAAGAAGAAGAAGAGAGAGAGAGAGAGATAGAGAGAGAGATAGAGAGAGAGAGAGAGAGAGAGAGAGGGAAAAAGAAAAGAAAAGAAAAGAAAAGAAAAGAAAAGAAAAGAAAAGAAAAGAAAAGAAAAAAAAAAAAACTCTCTTAGCTCTAGCAAACAAAGGCGGCGACTTTGAGCGCGTGAGTAGGGGACATCAGCCCGAATCACTGGCTCGCCACGCTTTGGAGCGCCGCCGTGGCATACAGATGCACGCCAGCTTTCAAGCGGTTTGTTTGCACGCCGATCGGCGTCACTCGGCACCAAGGGGTTAAGCAGGTAGTTTCTTTACCTCAAAAGTGCCTGCAATCACTGGTTCTGACTTTCTTCGGTTAAATATGAATCCCCATTTACAAAACTAAACAACTAAACTTTACAAGTTAAAAGATGACAAATAAATATATACAAATAGCACAAAAACTAAAATCGGTGTAATGCATGTATTTTTCCTTTAATCAAGACATTCAGAATTAATGGATATATTTTTCAATGAGTCATTGGTTGTTAACAAGTCTTCAGAACCCCATCATATTATTTCACACAGGACATTAAGCATTTTTCAGAGGAAAGAACTTTCTTATGAACCTAGGCCATACGTAGGTTAGCAATTTTTTTCTTAATCAATGTAGTATTCATTTGATCTTTACATTTATCTATCTATCTATCTATCTATCTATAAATATTCACACACACACACACATGTATGTGTCTCTTGACGGGAATGACTCTTAGAGTACAAAAAGTTCTTGGAGGGTGATGATTACTCATTTGACATTAGGAAGGGGCTTTTGTATTATTTCTATCAATGAACCAGTGTGGAATGTACCAAGACAGGAAGAGAGCCAGGGAGGACTCTATTTAAATGCTCAGGATCCTATTCCTGGTCAATGTGACCATCAGTGCAGAATGTATTAAAAAATTCAATTCAAATGAAAAATATGTACTTTTAAAAATGACAGAAAAGCTAAAAGTGCTTATGAAGAAAACGAGAGAATAACATAGCAAAGGGGAAGCACAGAGTCCTGTCATCTCAAAAGTGTTTATGTGTGCCTATAAGCTACACACCAGTCAGTGGTGCATCCAGATCCAATGGGTTAATATATAAAAAATAATTAACATCAGAACTATAAATAAACGTTTAACCCATTCACGCCGGTGTCACGTATGCGTGACATGCCCACTGTGAGTTTAATTGTTAATCCCTTCCCAACGGGTGACGCTGATAGGCATGAAAACAAACCGCTCGAAAGGCAGCGTGCAGCTATACGCCGCAGTGGCGCACCAAAGTGTGGCGAGCCAGTGATTCGGGCTGATGTACTGAATTCACGAGCTCAAAGTCGCCGCGCCGCCATTGTTTGCCAGAGTGTAGAGTTTGTTTGTTTTTTGTTTTCTTCACCCGTCACCATTGGGTTAAATTGTTCTTACACATAAATGGCTACACTTGTTGCGAGTGCTGCCTGACTCACCCTTTTACCCTTTTCTTTAATTTACAAAAATATTTTATATCATCTGATTTTGCTGTTACTAATGTTTATAACATTATAATAATTATAATGTAAAAATATCCATCAATATTCATAGCACTAGTAAAAAATATATTTTCCCGCCAAATGAAAGGTAAGGCAGAGCCATCTATATGTAGAGACATTTCACAAAAAAGTATAAAAAATTAGCACAGCATTTTCCCCATTTTTTTTTTTTTTCATTTTTACCTGTCACGAATGGGTTAATATAAAAAACAGAAAAAATACAATAACAAAAATAATATATAATAATAATAACAATAATTATTATTATTATAAAATAATAATGATAGTAATGACCATATAATAATAATGATAGTAATGACCATATAATAATAATGACAAAGAATACATATAAATATTTACTACAGATGTTGAAAAACAAAAACCCTTCACTCTGTAACAAGTGTGACACCAATGTGATTTTACCAACTGTGTGCTTGATTAAATAATTGAATCCATGTGATATCCTAACACTTCATAGCAAAAAACACGCAAATGTGAGATAATATCTATTGATGTCAAGAACCCGTGTCTCAGCGTCCGACACCATAAAGTGTTCTTTTAATCAAGCTAAAGAACATCTAATGCCCTTTTACTATGATAGATTCCTTTGAATGAATCTAAAAGGGGAAATATAATTGCATAAAAAAATTAAAGAATCTGAGAACGAAGTAAAAATATAGATAAGGAAACAAGTAGAATTGTTCTAAAAATAAATTTTGGGATAATATGCAGTAGCAATTTAAAGCAAAGCCTCCGTTTGCCGTAAGATTGGGCTTATGGTTATATATATATGGTTAAATATCATAAAGGGTTGCCCTTACCCCTTTCACATACATTCTTGGCAGTCTTCATATGTCTTGGCAAAGACAGCATATAGCATATGTTAAATATGAAACACCTTTCCTTTTTCCAGAGTTTATGGAGTTCCCTAAAACAAACTGTCACAACAAAATTGGCTATCCAAATTTCAAGCATTTAACCAGTTCTACAACTGCCAACAATCTACTCATATATCTATCACAAACTATAGACAACCCTTACAGCAATGACATCCACTAAAAACAAAATGTACTACTTCTATACCCTAGCTATTCTGTCTCCTTACAAATACACGAAATGCAGTTATGCGGGCAATTTTTAACATAATTGTTTACTGTAGTAATAAGTGTTTTGAAGTGACTGCTGTTTGACTTACAGGCAAGAACCTGAATCAGTTTTTAAACTTATAATGGCAATACCAAGATATAATGTAATGCCATATAATATCAAGAGTACAACAACACATAGGAGAAGCAAGATAGTCTGCTAGCGAGCACAGTCCTCCCCTCTTTCACAGAACAAAAACCCCCGGGAGAAGGGAAGAGAGATAAAAGATACAAAGGGAGAAAGGGGAAACAGAATGAGAATGAAAGTGAGGGAGGGAAGAAGAGAGGATGGGAGACAGATACAGAGAGAGGAGGATGAGTGTGGGTGAGGAGAGGACAAGGCACTCCCAATTCTGTCAAGAGAAAAACCCTAGCAGGAAAGCGAGGAATGAACAGGGAAGGGAAGTGTGTAAGATGAAAAGGGAGAGGGAGGGAGGGGAGAGAGAGAGAGAGAGAGAGAGAGAGAGAGAGAGAGAGAGAGAGAGAGAGAGAGAGAGAGAGAGAGAGAGAGAGGAGAGAGAGGAGGAGAGGAGGGAGGAGAGAAGGAGGAGAGAGGGGGAGGAGGAAGGGAGAGAGAAGGGAGGGATAAGGGGATATAAGAAGAGATCTATGGAAGGGCAGGAGAGAAGGGGAACAGAAGTAAAAAGAAGCTATGTTAGGAACACTGTCTATGAAGTGCACTTTCAGGTCCCATAATCAATAACAACTATCTAACCCTCCCTGAGTCTCATATGGGTTTTGTGGCGACCACTCAATTTTTATGAGCTACGTCAGACAAGTGCTTCCCACATCTGCAATAGCCTCTATTTACTCTATACAACATGTCTGTCAGAGTAATCATTAACGAGAATAATATACAAAAATGATATCACA